TGTCGCCACCATCGCCGGAGTAATTATCGCCGAGCCGCGCCGGACCTAGGGTCGAAACCCTAGGTCGGCTTTCCTTGTCCCGTTTCTGCTCTCGCTCCCGATCTGTTCTCTCCCTCTATCCGTCTCTTCTCTTGCGTCGTGCGTTTATAGGGCTGCGAATTCAGATTTCCCTCTCAATCTAGGACTCAAGTTTGAATTGGAGTCTTCTTGCACTGCTGTTTCCGATCTGCTCTCCCTCTCGCCCCTCTTCCGTCTTTTCTGGGTTAATTGGATGAATGGGTCTAGTCCTAATTTGGGCTTGGCCCAACTTCTTTATTCTTCGGTTGTAGTGCCCAACTTTGACATCTTCTTCAACTCTTTGGATTCTAAAATATATCTAAAATTATTTGTCAATGAAAATAATATTTACAAAATAATTGACAAATATAAATATGCTCAAAATCATGCATTTTATGTATAAAATATAAATAATAGCCTAAAATGCTAAATAGAACAAAATGTGATTATTTAGGTATAAAATGCACATAAATCATATTAAAAATGCTAAGAAGTGAGAGATTAAAATATGATATTTTGTGACTTAACAAATACCCCCACACTTAGGCTTTTGCACGCCCTCGTGCAAACTAGATATTGAAAATCATTTTTTTGTTGAAATTAGAACTCAAAACAATTTCTCAATCTTATAACAATATTAAAGTGATGCATGAAACATTAAACAAAAATTAACCATGTACCAAATAGAATAAACACTTTAAAAATAAAGTTGCTACTTTAAAATTTAAACAATTCTTTTAGTTCAAAGCTAAGTAGAAATTACTTTTATTTAGTGTCAAAACTTTTAAATTAATTAAGACCATTGAGAGCAATTTAAAAGAAATCTATAGAGCAACGAAAAGTGGTTAGAAATCCCAAGAAACAATCAAGTAAAGAAAAGCTCAAGAAAATTTATTTTCTTTTCCAAAATTTGTTAACTTTTATTTATTGCATTGATTTAATATTTTAATTTTAATTGTTTGAGTTGACCCGTGTAGCGAGTCTCAACCAGGCTACCCCAGGCCCATTCCAGATAGCCCAGGACCTAAATAAACGAAGTATTCCGAGGGTTTCAACTCGAGTGCTCAAACAATATTTTTATTCATTTTTTGACTCTTTTATTTTTACCTAGCCATTTATTGCCCTTTTTTCTTTTTTTTTTGGCTCAATGGTGTCGGTTATTCTTCTTTTTTTTTACACTGGTTATGGACGAGATTCGTACGGCCCAAAACGGGGTTTGCTCTTCCAACTTAAGTTTTCTCCATACACAACATCACTTCCTTTTGGGATCTGTTGCTTAAGGGGACAAAGGTGTCGTGCCACCCATGCCAACCTAAGATGGTGTTCCAGATTATATATTATATTCATTTCAGCATCTTGATAATATGTAGATAACCAAAATTGAGAAAAAGAAAAATATTTTCTTAAGACTAACTTTACTTGAATAGTAACTTAGGACAAAAAAGAGTTAGAAAACTGCTCCATGTATTTCCAAATAAATTGTGCACATTGAACTTAACTAACTAAAAGGTATGAAATTAAACAAAAATAACTTCCAAATAGATTTGACTTAAAAGAAATGATTTAAAGTTTATAGTAGCAAACTCATTTTTAAAGAAATTCAAACATACCTGTTACAAAATTAATTTTAGTTTAATGCAAAAATTGCAAACACTTAACAATGCTAAATGATTAAAAGAAATTATTCAGAACTCTAATTTTTCTTGAAACTCTTTTTTTATATATAGATTTTTATGTGAAAGATTATTGTTTTCTTTAAAAAGTTTTAAAAAATTTTAATTTTTTATAACCAGATTGCATCTAAAATGCTAAATTTGATCTGAAATACCTTTTTTCTACTCATTTATTGCTCCTAGTATTTGTATAAAAACATGCAAACAATTTTTTTAAACATGCATAACTAGATGCGGAAGCGTCCCCCCACACTTAAATCATGCAGT